CAGAGCGGAGGCCAGAGCAGGGTGGGCACAGGCCCTTTGAGGGGGCCCTGGTACCCAGCACCCCCCCAACATGCCCGGTGGGGGGCAAGAGGCTGCTGCAGCCCCAGAGCACCCAGTTCCCATGGTCAGCCTGAGGGGCAGTGGGCTGGGGAAGCAGAGAGGGACGAACCAGGGGAGGTTCCCAGCTGTGCAGGGGGGGCAGCACGGTGGTTCACATCCCCCCTCCAGCACGTGGATGGGCACAGAGGCCAAACACAGATTTCCAATCAAACGTGTGTACTTGGCTCCTGCTCTATCGACACTGAAGCAAGAAGGGCTCAAGGTTAATTCCTTATCAATACCCTATTGTCAGCTCATTCATCACCCGGGGAGGGCAGGCGCTGCCCGAGCTCTCCCTGCCCCAGCCCCACCATGGGTTTGGGAGGGTGACGTGCATGACTCTGCCCACCCCAGCCCTGCCTGGGCAGCCCATCTGTGGCCAGCAGTGCTGGGGTGGGCTCTGAGCCACCTGAAGATGTGGAGATGAGGGAACGGGAGCTCAAGTTCAAGGGGAAGCGGGGGTAGGCCGGGCAGGCAAGCAAGCAGCTGCTGGGCTAGTCCCTGACTGCCTTGCCCATGCTCCAGGCTGGGTGCAGGGGCTGTCCATAAGGTGTGCTGGCAAAGGGAGTTGTAGAGGGGTGGCAGACACTGGCTGTGGTCCTCATTTGTGCTATCCCCTTTCCTAACTGCCCCCCAAGCCCTGTTATGCTCAGGGGGGCCTGCCAGCCTTGCCAGAGAGAAGCTCTGAGCTCCACTCTCTCCCCAGTTTGGGGAACTGCAGGAAACCCGAGGGATCCCCACAGTCCCGAGTTGTGGTGTTTCCCAAAGTTGAAATATGGTCTGTTCTAACCACAACATTGCACAGTTGTGTTTGAAAAATGAAGAGCCCTCTCTGGGAGATGGAGAGGGAGGTGGTGTGACCTGGGCTGCCAATGCAGAAAGGGCAGTAAAGGTGTTCCCGCTGTTAGACTTTCAGTTTTACTGTTTAGTTAAAGCTGAGAAAAAGGCTCTATTAAAACTCCCAGGTGCAGGCAGCTCTAGGCCTATATACTATTTTATATTAACTCACGATCTATACTTTGCATCACCAGAGTTTGCTCTTCTGGTTTTTTTCCTTGGCTCAAGAAGACTTTTTGCAGGAGATGCTCTCAGGCACACAGAAGCACGGGGATGAACGAAGTCTTCTCCAGCATGTGCTCTGCTTGTCTCCTGCACAAGGCGACTCTCCACTCAGGAAAGAAGGGACCTGCTGCCACCTCGTGGAACTCTGCTCCCTCCAGGGCCCAGGCGTCCCACCCTCGGGGTGGGGGGTGGCACAGCCACCCTCTGCCAGCTGCCACCTCCATGGGACTGTGGAGACCAGCCGAATGCCTCCTCCCTCTTCTCTTTCTGGGCTGCAGCACATGGGGTTGGGTTGATCGGTTCCATCTCGAGCCATTCACACTCTTCCATCAGCAGCCGAGCTGCGCACACACACCTGTGACTTCCAAATATGCAAAAAGATGAGGCCATCCCAACACAAAAAAAAACCAACAGATTTGTTTTAAACCACCTTTATTAGGTGTGGACACAGGTGAATCCTCACCCAGGGTCTCAGCTTGAATTAATTACACTGCCAAGATGCTCCCCTCCCCGCTCCAAAACATCCTGCCTGGGATGGATCATGGCCCTGCTCTGCCCAGGTCTCTGCCACAGCTTCTTGGGGGGCACAGGGGGGCTGCACTGCAGGAACACGAGCTCCAGACTCCCCAGGCAGAGACAGCCAGTGCCACATCCCGCTCCTCGACCACGAGGCAAGCCCAGGGACGCTGTATTTTTCCTCCCAAAGAGCAGATCTGCAACGCCCCTCCCACAGCTCAGTCTCGCAGATTTACCTGGATTTGCCAAGATACCCCAACCTCTGGCTTTCAGCATTCAGGCTGAAGCTCTTTAGGAACACAGGCTGTGCCAAAATGTGACAGTTTAGCAAGGATTAAGGGTTTGAGGCAGAGCTGTTTTGGTTTTTTTTTTTAATCCAGTAGTGCTTGGATCAGTTCTTGGCCGTGTGCCTTCAGGCTCCGAGTTATTAACCTTCTGCTTCAAATAATAAGCAACAGAAATAAAGAAGGCAGAAAAGGAAGAGCGAGCATACACGCCCAGAAATAGAGAGGGCAATATATCACACAATACATTTAACACACTGCTCATAATCATAATTAAAATCTTGCTGGAACACAGAAAACAAATCCCACCCAGAAGATTGGTGCTGACAACTTCTTCTGTCAGTCACTGACTTGCTCGGGATCCCTCCCTGCTCCGAGAGGTGCGTACACGAATTGGCCCTGAATTTCAAGTCAGTTTTGCAGCAGTGGAGACGTCCCTGTGGGCAGGTTCCCATTTCGAAGCTCCAACCAGCAGCACCCCGCTCCCTGCCCTGGGCAGGGGGGGCAGACCAGGATGGAGTCTGGGGAGCAGCAACCCCGTAGCAGGGGAGTGCAGGTGGGGATGGAAGTGCTGCTGACACATGTGAGGCTCTTCCCAGAGGGAGCTTTGCCATTCCCCATCACACAGGGACAGAGCATTTAGCTCCAGCTCCCGCCAGCAGCCCCACTCCCTCAACAGAAGTTCAATGCCCACAGCAATAAACAGCAGATTCCCAGCCCAGCATTAATTCCGAGGTGTATATTATGGAGTGTTTAACTGTTCTGTAAATATCGAACCCGTGGAAACCAGCATGAGGGGAAGTGCTACTTAAATAACCTTTACCACCTCCAAGAGTTTCCACAGTGCCACAAACAGCTCAGGAGACACAGCCCAGCTCTCCAGGAAGGCAGGGAAACGGATCACAGCCCAGGAGTTACAGCACTGACGGCACAAACCAGGGGCCTGCTTTAAACAGACAAGAGATCTCTGCTGGGCTTTCTGGGATAGGGGACTGTGCCTGGATTTTACAGGCTCAAACCCTAGGAACAAGAAATTCTTGATGAAAAGCTGCAGGCTGAAAGCTGTTCCCCACAGCAAACCTCCACAGCGGAAGCTGAAACTGGCATCACACCAGCAGACCAGAACCTGAGCAACAAGGGCTCCTTTGCCTAGAGCCAGTTTTAAAAAAAAATTAAAGAGAGAAAACTTGGGAGACAAACCAGGCCATCAACCTCTTCTCAGTACATTCTCACCTATGCTATACACTCCTTTAACACCACACCCAACATGGGGTTATTCTTTGCTTTAAATAGGCATTGCCACACTAGCCCTCTAAAAAGAGCTGTGCTGGCCACAGACCACACCTCACCCTGTGCTCCCACGCATTACCGCTCTTGTTTTAAACTTCCAAATTATTTCAGTGCTTCCCAAGAGACCTCCCTCTCTGCATTTTGATTCAGAGCAGTCGTGGGAGGTGGTTGAGTCACCATCCCTGGATGTGTTTAAGCATCACTTGGACGTGGTGTTGTGTGATATGGTCTAGGGGTGAACTTGCAAGTAGGGTCAATGGTTGGACTCGATGTTTCCAAGGGTCTTTTCCAACCTGGATGATTCTGTGATTCTGTTTGGGGCAGTCGTGGATGACGACGCCCCAAGGGTGGGCAAGACAAGCAGGGCATGCACCTGTAAAAATCCTCATGCACTTTATGTTTCTACCTCTCGAGGACAGCCCCTTGTTCAAACAGGCCCCTATCACAGCCCTCCAGTGCCTGCTCCTGGCAGTCTTTGACTGGGAATTTAAAGTTGGCTAATCCTGTCCACCACGTTATTAATTAGCTTGCAACACTAATTGACAGAACATAAGCATGTTAGCGGGCTCCTCTCTGCCTTTATCCCCACTTTCTTCCCAAATAAACAACAAAATAAACAACAAAACCCCAAACCAAACACAGCTGAAGCGCAGTGCAATGAGCTACTAGGCAGAAGGAATTACTTTCTTGCATTACTAGTGCACGCCGCACGGGCGGCAAAGACTGATCACCTGAAGAGAGCATTATGGGGAAAAACATTGAATTTCATGGTCATTTGCAGGCTGCAAGTGATTTAAGAAACACCCTGTATAAATCATAGCTCCAAGAGACAGTTTCATTTTTCTCTGCAGTTTCACCTTTCCGTTTCTGAGGTCTTTCAGGTTACAGCTATACTGGTCTCCCTGCATTTCCAGATGCACAACGTAGGCTGACCGAAGACACACGATAATAAATGAACAGTTCCCCAAGAAAGCAAAACCACTCAGGAGAGCACACAAAGACTGGACAGAAGTGAAACAAAACACAAGAGGCACTCAGAAAGGTGAACTTAAAACTTTTGGTTGAAGAACACAAAGTTTTATCACAACCATCCCAGCAAGGATCAGAGCTTTGACTGTTCTATCTCAGCTATTTAATGGAAGCAGATGACAGTCTGGGCACACCGCCCTGCACGCGTCTTTTCCAGCTCTTGCACTTGGTTTCCGTGCCTGATCTCCAGCAAGGAGTATAACAAGAGCTGGGGTGGACCTGGAGAAATGTCCTGCAGAGCTGCTTCTCTTTGCTCACTGCAAGGTAAGAGAAAGGCAGAAAGGAAAAAAAACCACCAAAGGCATGGAGGAGCTGTATTCTAAAATCAGTACAAGGCAACAGAACATGCACGTTGGACATTAGAGACAAGGAGACAACAGGGAAAGCGGAGGAGAATAGGAGATGGGAAGAAACAAGCAACACTCTGTGTGAAATTCTGGTCTGTGACATCTTGGTAAAGCACATTGACTTCAACCACGCTACGATTTCAACTTTCAGTACCTTAAATAAACCCCTGTCTACTGTCTGCTATAGCCTGGCTGGCCCAAAGGCCAGCCTGGAGGCCTTCAGACTTGTAGATGGGGGGCAGGGGGAGGCGAAGAGACCGATAAAAGTCTGTACTTTCCTCCCTTCAGAGACACAAAGGCAAAGGGGGTGACATTTCCCATACAAGCTGAGCAAAGTAGAGGCAAACACCGGAGGCCATCACACAGCTAACGCTGAGAGTCCGTGACACAGTCAGACAGGAAAGTTGTACAGAGGTTGCTATAATAGGTGGGGTACACTCGCATGTGGCTGACATGAGCCGAATCTGAGAAGTCTACAGCTTTCACAGAGACACCAAGCTGCTGCCGGGCATCAGCCATGTGCTGAACTTCACTGGCCTTGATGATGGCGTCGGCTTGGGAATAGAGGTAAAGCTCGGGCCAGCGCGAGGGCGCTTTCAGCAGCGCATCGTAATGGCTCTCGTGGATGAAGCGCGTCAACGGGTACAGCAAGATCCGCAGCACGACAGCGGTAGTAGCAAAAGCGAATAAGAGGAAATACTTGAGCAGCACATTCGTGGATACCAAGACAGCTGCCAAGGCACGGAGGCCTCCTCTCAAGTTTCTTCTGCCAGGGGCACTATCAAAAATGGTGCCCGCTACTTTGAGGTTTTTAAACGGCTTGTGAGTGTCGAGAGCCTCAATGATGTAACGGTACAGCATGACACCACCGTTGCTAAAAACGTGAAAAAGAACTGGTCTGTTCTCAACGCTGTAGTCAAAAAGCAGCTCCAGGAGTTGCCTGGCTGGGGTCTGAAGGGATCTGATGCCAAAGGTCTCCGAGAAGAAAACCATCCTCCATGGAGCTGTGTAGCGGATGACGGTGCACCCCTAAGAAGAACAGAGAGAGATCACACGTACATTTAGTCTGTGCTGTAAATTAGTAAATTAGAGTAGGCAAGCATCAGTACAAAGAACGGGAAAATCTAGGACAGGTTTCCAGCAGAAACCACAGAGCCAGAAGAAAATCTTTAGTGTCAGCAGCAAGACACCAACACGAACACAAGTGTTACTAATCACAGCAGAATACAACATTATGAAAACATCTCTGCAGTAGCAGAGGCCTCGATTTGATGATGTTTGAGATCCTTTTAAATCCTGTGTGAACTGGCACAGCTGCTGGGGACACTGCCACCCAAGCCTTTATGAGTGTTAGTCTTCAGGCAGGAATTAAAAAAAACCAAAACAAAACAACATCTCCCCACCTCACAAACCTTCAGCATCAGCTCTTTTGGTAAGAAAGGCCTGCTCTGGTACACATCTAGTTCATGACATTGAAACAAACATAAGGAGGAGGGGGAGCTTCCTATCCTCAGGTAGTACTTGTTTGTAGCTGTCTCTAAGCCTCACTCACAATCAACACTGATATCATTTTCATAAGCCTTTCTCAAACACTCACTGAGCAAATGAAGAGCACTGGTTCAGAGATTTAGAACACCTGAGCAACTGCCTTTACAGTTAAGGCCTTACATTTAGGTGTAGATTGGGAAATGGGATCTTGGAGAAGTTTCTCTACAGAGTAGAAGGAACTATATTCACAAATGCTTTAGATTTTTTCTATTACCTAAACTCACTGACAAACAAAAGGCAAAGCCACCAAGACAGCCCTCCCGCCCAGAGGTCCCTAAACAGTGAACAAGGGAAAAGAGAACAAGTTCTTAAACCAAAGCCTTCTACACTTGCCAGGGTTGCAACCACTTCCTCTTTAGGGAGCTAAGAAAACCCCTTTCTCTCCTTTCCCACTCCAATCAACTTTCTGATAGAAAAGATGTCTCAAAAAAGTTGGCATGCTGCCACATAACGTGCTCCTCATCTGCTCAGCAGCATCTCGGTCACAACAGTTACTTAACAATTAATTCTTCACTAGAACAAGCCAATTCATGACTCTTGCACTGGATTACACATTAACAACAGACTTTCAGACAAATCTGAAACAGATTTGGATAAATACAAGAGACTTACATGCTGACAAAATAAGTCTAATGTTTCATTGGGTCCCCATATTACAAGCTGGGGACAATCTAGTAAGATACAGTGTTAAAAAGGAAAATATCACAACTTTGGGAATTAGCAATTGGACAGACCTCTCTAATTCAAACACAAGAAGCTCCTAGTGCACAAGATGCCTGTTTCACAGACAGGACAAAATTAATCTGGATTACAACACGTAAATGAATCATCTTTACAGGAAGGAAAAGCCAAAGAAATGACAGATGCTGACATGCTCTGTCGAGTCTGGCCTCGATACGTCTGTGCTGCAGCCTATTAGCAAGCGGTAAACACATAATCCTTCCCCACATGTTTACCTGTCTGGAAAGCTAACATGGTTCATGTCATTCACAGAGAACCTCACAACTTTAAAAGCCTTAAAAGCCAGAAACAACACCAGAAAGTTTCTCCAAGGAAGTATTTTTGTCTCAGCTGCACGCACAAAGATGACATCAGCAACTTTTAGATAACGCTGCCTGGGCTCCAAGAGACAAGGAGCTTTCAATGACATGAGAATTCGTCAATCATTCCTGACAACTCTTCAGGCTGAGAGACTGTTTAGAGCGATTTTTACCAACATGCAGAAAGCAGGCAGTGTGTAAAAGTATAAACAAGCTACTCACCTTCTGACTGTAGATTGCACTGTATTTGGCCAGGTATTTGTCCTGGCAGCCTGCCCAACCTAGAAGGATCACCACAGGTTGACCATCTGCATTCCCTCTCTCTGTACCGCCCTCTGAAATGAATCACGAGATTTCAAATAATTGCCCTTCGCTCTACCAGAATCAGAAGTTAACGGCACCTTGCCTGGAAGCTGGTATTCGCTTCATTTCTCAGTCAGTTACCAATGCAAGCTCATCGCAGTGTCACTATGATTTTTTTCAGCACAGCTTATCCTCTGACGCAAATCCAGCAGCGCAGGGATCGCCACGGGGGGTGGGGGGACAACACAGACCCTCTCCTCTCCCACCTCCCGGGAGCTGGGGAGGTATCAGGGACTGCTGCCCACCTCCGGGCGGAAAGTGAAGCGT